AGTTCCAAGACTTAAATTGTGAAAAGCTTTACAACAACTCGGCATTAGTCCATACCTTTTAGGAATAATCACAGAAGTATACAGGTATAGCACTACTTACATAAAAATCGAAAATACACTATCAGAGTCAATAAAAGTAACTAAAGGAGTAAAACAAGGATGCAGTATGTCACCCTTACTATTTAATTTATATATTGAGGCAGCTGCCCAAAATTGGAAAAATCACTGCCAGGGAATGGGAATCCCCATAGGAAATGACGTACTGTTCTCCTTGGACTTTGCGGATGACCAAGACGTCCTAGCTGGAGATTCTTATGATATAGACTTTATGATACGGCGTCTATACAGAGAATATTTAAAATGGGGGTTACAAGTCAGCATAAAGAAAATAATATATTTAATTATCAATTTAGATGCAAGGTTTGAAATGTTGATAGACGAGGACGTGGAAATCAAACAAGTGGAAAAATTTAAATACTTAGGTGCACTCATTGCTAAGAACGGCTTGGGAGAAACCAAAATTAAACACCGAATTATTCGGAGACTTAAAATTGTAGGATGTTCGAACTCCTTATGGTGGGATTTTAACGTTTCCAAAAGGAACAAAAAGATAATAGGGCAAACCATGATTGAATCAGTTCTTTGTTATAGCTCTGAATTATGAACAATTAATGCAGACCTGAAGAGAGGATTGTTGGCAGTTAAAATGAATTGTTTGAGAAGAAGTGCTAGAACATCAAGGCAGGAAAGGAAGACCAACGAATCTATAAGAAATAACATAAATGCTACAGAAACGGTCATTGACAGAATAGAAACAAGAGGTTCAAAATGGTTTGGACACCTATTGAAAATGCCTGACGAACGTTGCCCTCAAAAACTTCCCAAATGGAAGCCCCCTGGAAGAAGAAAAAGAGTAAGACCTCGACGGTCATGGAATGAACAAATTAGAAGAGCGATAGAATCGAGTGGTTTGAAGAAGGAGCATGTCTTGGACCAGGAGAATTAGCGAAGGAGAACGGAAATACGGCGATAGCCATCTCAAAAATGTATTGTATTAACAAGTTGGATCAATGTCAAACGTCAATAAGCTTATTTTAACCTTTAATTGTGACTTTTCTCAATCAAAATAGTAACTACTTTAAAATGCTACAAACAAAAAGCAATAACAGTCAACTGCGCACACGTAGGAGAGGGTGGTTTTAGTTGGTAGGCAGGATAATTTAGATACCTGAATCTTCGGCACTGCTATCTTTAGTACTTTAAATTAAACTAAAACCCAAATTTTATGGACTCAAAATGGAGGTAGCACAAAAAAAATTCTAACCCCCCTCAGACAAATAAATTCTGGGTGCGTCAGTGTATATATATAATGAAAAGCGCCAAAAAAACCTGGAAAATCTTAGGACGCATATTTACGAACTGTGTAAGATCAAGGTGCACACCAGACCAGTGGAACACAGCTAACATAATCGTCATGAACGATCCGTTCACAAAGATCTGATATTTTCGAAGGCCCGTGATCGATACAATCACATTCTGTGACCTTATCGTTCGAATAACTCTGTCCAGTGTCTACGAAACAAACTGTGTGATCGCGACACGTGCTCGGTCAAATTAATGCATGAACCGCGAATGGCGCAAACCGCAAAGGATCGTTCAAACGCTGATTTCAGTTTCCCAGAACGGCGAAACCCTTTTTTTACGCTGCAAAACTGTAAAATTATATACATTCGAATTGTCGAGTCAATAGTCCCGTAGTCTGTTCTGTTTATAAATCTTTGTAGGAAATAAAATCCATATTAATTGTTGCATTATCATTCATTCATGAGCATAATAATATGGAATTTGTAATTTTACTTAACTTTCTTAACCCGGCACCTGCCACGTGGCTTTGCAAAACGTCAACTGCCACGTGGGGTGCTCATAGTACCCCTTAAAACTTTTCTGTGATCTACGTGTTTATAAACAAAATAATAGGCTGAGTAATACAAAAATATAAAAAAAACATGTTTTATTAACACCTACTAATATTATAAAAGTTAAAAAATAAAACTAAAAAGTTATTATAAACAAATTAAGTAAAACTCATTAGCAGCTATCATCGGATTCTTGTTCTTCTTCCTTTTGGTTAAAACACTTTTCACAAATATGTTTCATGTGATTTAGGCACATCTGTTGGTAACATTTTTCGCAGAAAAAGTTTGTTTTTTTGTCATCTTTCCTTGGACAAATAGAGCACCTTGCCTTTTTTCTGGGCGGTTCTGTTGTTTCGTTTGATTCAGTAGAGCCTCCAATATATTTTATTGCCTTCTCACGTATTGTACGCGGAATGTGTGAGTTAGCTGATCTGACTTTCAACCAATCTTTCACAAGATCGAACCCTAAGTCCTGCAGGTAAATCCTCCGTTCAATTGTTTTGTTGTTAATATTATTCGCAGTGTGGATAACGTGGCTATTGATGCCAGCTATGTCGAGCATTCTAAAAAATACAACACATGGCCATCTTCGACATGTTCTGGCAGTGGAATATGAACCGCATAGCTCATCCACCTTGTCCACGCCGGACTTGGTTTGGTTGTAAAATGTAATTATATTTGGAAGATTCTTATCTCCTGTGCTCTCATCAATAGAATCGTCTTCTAAATGCATTGACGATAACATCATTACATTTTTATTTCTCTTAGGTATATAAGATAAAATTGTCATATTGTCGGTAAATGCAAATTCTGAACTTTTGAGTGGTCTTCTTTTAATTTCCACAAACTGTTTAGGTATCTCCCTTTTATTTTTACGCATAGTTCCGACATACGTCAATTTCTTTTGTAGCAATTCTACGGCAAGTGGAACACTTGTGAACCAATTATCTCCAGTAATGTTGCGACCAGAATTCCAAATTGGCTTAGATAGCCGCATAACTATGTTATTTGCACTGTTTGATACCGCATAAGGTCCTTCAGGTTGTTGGCCTACGTATATTTCAAATGTCAATGAGTACCATGTTTTGGCATCGGCAATACTAAATATTTTTATGCCATACTTAGCTGGCTTACTCGGTATATATTGCCGAAATGAACATCGTCCTCTAAAAGAAACCAGCTGTTCATCAATAGTGCAGTATTCAGATATGGAATATACGTTTACACAGTTATTTTGAAAAATTGTAAAAACATCACGGATTGGAGCAAGTTTGTCAATTTTACGTCTTTCACTGCGTGTGTCTATGTCGTCAAATCGAAGGCATTTTATTAGCATGAAGTACCTATGGAGACTCATTGTTTTTCTAAAAATGCCTATGCCCACTCTACCTTCTGACCATAAATCCTCCATGTTCTGACGTCTAGAACGAATAGACCCAGCAATATATAGTAAACCAAACAGCGCCTTCAGTTCAGCCATGCATGTTTCATAACTATGCTTTTTTTTCACCGGATAGTTTTCAACTATCACCGGTTTGTTGTTGAAGTTTTTTGTTTGTAGAATTTAATATTATTTCAAGAATATTTTCATCTATGAGCAAGTTCCAACATTCCAAAATTGTCTTACAATTTTTTGCACACTGTTTTACACCAGGTAAATGAACAACAAGGTTCTGCGATCTTGTACGAACATTTCTATTCCCCCTTGTAGTTCTCCATTTTGTAGTCCCATCCTTACCTACAACAGTATTTGCATCTAAAACAGATTCTTCGCCGTCCGAAGCTGCTGACATTTCTGAATCCGAATTGTGGTCGCTAAACTGGGTAGCATCTACTTCAGAATCAGATGAATCCTCAATCTCTGCTATATCATCTTGTTCCATCTCTTCTAGAAGAGCTCTCAAGCGGTTTTGTTCCTGTTCGTACCAAGCCATAATAAATTGGGCGTGAAGTAAAATATCTAAAAAAAATAATATTTATTTAGTATACAGCCTATATAATAATTTAAATCAGTTATTGCAATAAAAACTGTAAATATACCAACCTGTTTATCAAAAACACAAAAAAAAATTTAAAACTTAAACTGCCAGATGGGGATCTGATGACACTCCAGTCGACTTTATAGCTACAAGGTCAGAATGCCACTAAATAACCACTTCAAACTCAAATAGATCTATGCTGTACAATATTATAGAAAGCTACTATGACGCGCAGCAGTGTTGCAAAACTTGAAATACGAAATATTTGGTGAAAATGTGTTATGGGGTGCTGGTAGTACCCCACGTGGCAGGTGCCGGGTTAAGTATTTTTTTTTAATTTTAATTGTTTCTGAAGACGATTTGATAAATACAAATCTCAATGTCAGCCTTAAACTATATTTCATTCTGAAATTTTTAGTAACTAAAACATATCAATATTAAACTCTACACACTTGACCTTTACACAACAAATTTAATTAGTCATTCATATGAATGGATCTTTATGAACAGGTTATTTTATTGAATGACCTGGACCGAAACGAATCAGGTCTTCTCAACACTAATTCTCATTCATAAGAAAGGTAGCAAAGGGGATATCAAAAATTACAGACCTGCAAGTCTACTACCAATCACATATAAAAAAGTGGATGCAGTACCCTGGATTTTATTCATATACTTCGAGATATAATGAGTGGAGCTAAAGAATATGAAATAGCGCTAGCATTAACCTTCATAGTTTTTGAAAAAGGTTTTGATATATACAGACAAGCAAAAACTAAGGGAACAATTTATCTCCGTATTTACATTCCAAAATTTCCTACTACCAGAAACGTCTGACAAGGAGACGCAATATCACCACAGCTCTTTACTGCTACTCTAGAAAATATATTTAGTAAAATCAACTGATGATGCCTATAAGACAAAATATATTGGATATAGTATAAATAAAGAGTAGATCTGTAAAGTAATGATTAGCAGTAAAAGTAGAAAAATATGAAAATAACCTTTGACTTAATATAATAATTTCAATAAAACCGACGTGAAATTTTTTTGCAATATAAAACTTTCAAAGTAAAACTACTTATAAAATAAAATTTTTTTATAGGGCCCGTTTTGGATTATATCAAGTAGATTTTACAAACGATACTCGACCGAGGACAGCCAAATCTTCAGTAGAGTTTTTTAAGAATGTCATCAAGACAAAGAGCTTAGATTCTTCTAATGATGGAGGATCAAGTATTAACAGGGTTAACGGCTATGTGTTTGGCTTTATTATATTATCATTTTATTTATTTAAATTATGGTAAATTTTTAAAAGCCAATTATTATTTTGTATTTGTATAAATGTAATTTTTATAAAACATTTGTTTAATAAAGACGAATTTTGTATTCTAACAACTAAAACATGAACATAAAAATATGCTTACTGGTCTTTTATTTAACAACTTCTGTGTGAATTTTATATACTGTAGAAGACGTGAAGAGGTAAACAGATTTACAAAGGTATGCTTAATGTCATTGGTGATCAATATTGTTTTTGTTTGGTACCGTGAAAAATTGGATTGCAAGCTTTAAAATATGTAAATTTTTCATTAGTATGAAGATTTATCGGCAAGGCCGAGTCATGTAAGTCGAGTAAATATCATGACATGATTTATTTTTATTAGGCGTGAATTCGCCTCAAGGCAGAACAAAATCAGACAGATAAGTATATAAGGCAGTGGACATTTATAAAAGTGTCCATTGTATATAGTTTTTTTAATAAAAAGGCTGTCTGAATGTTGTTTAAATGAGTGCAAGGGTAATAGAAAAGGGTAAATAAAAAAGATGCATACTTTTAACCTCTTGTTGTTACTGTTGATGAAACTGGTAACGATCCAGAAATAAAGCATTAATTACAATAGGCAACAAAAATATATATTAATCTGTCCCAGTAGTTTTATTGACTGATTTTGTGAAAATAGACTGTCCAATACTAAAATTACCAGGGATACTACCACAGGTTCAAAGACTGCCTCTGTGTTGCAAAATGCATCAAGTGCGGAGAAAGCCACATCAGTAGCGAATGCAGTAAGGACAGGAAAACGGAACCCAAATGTGCAAACTGTAGAGAGGCACATACAGCGAACTGCACAGGTTGCTCAAAGGCACTTAAAAAGAAAACTGTTTTTAAACAACAACCAAAGAGCGGACCGATCAACAGCAACACCACCAACAAAGTTATTAGCTACACGCAGGTCACCAAAAAACCTGCAAACACAAATTCCGCAGCCACAAACGAATCCGCAGCATTAATCGCGAGTTTCAACTCGGATTTTAATGCGAAAATGAACCAATTCTCCACGATACTGCAGAAAATTATAGAGGCGATGGCTGCAATTAGAAGCATTTTACAAATATGTTAGCACACCAACCCGAAAATTTTCGTAATGGGTCTTGGAACTCAGATGGACTATATTAAAAAATTAATCTTCTGCACGAATTTTCCAACAGACTGGAACTAGATATCATAGAACTACAAAAAAACCAAACTGGAGGAGAGGAAAAAAAATGTCTAGGCTATGATATTTATAGAACAGATCATCGAGCAAACTCAGGGAGTACGGCCATCATGATCAGAAAAGAAATTAAACAGTAAGTCATCCCAACTCCTAATGGCTTGGTCACAATGGCACCAACGATAGTCTGGCTAATCACAGGAAACGAGACATTAAAAATCGTCTCGGCGTATGTAAGGCCAGATGACCCAATCTTCGACCAAGACCTGAGACTCATTTTGGATTCAGAAGAACCCACAATCATTATTGGCGACCTAAATGCGAGATCTCCGAACTGGTACGATGATGTCACCAACAGATGCGGGAGACTGCTCTGCAGCTATCTCGAAACAAGATACAACACATACGTAGTTGGCCCAACGGACCCTGTGTACTACAATAGGTTGTCTCCACCCACTCATCTCGATATGGCAATCCTTTACAACGTGGGTCAACAATATGAAATAAATTCAATTAACGAAGGCGATCCAACACATAATCTAATCGTCCTGATCCTGGGCGCAATAGATATAAACTATTTGCAGCCCCACAAAAAGAAAAAAACCAACTGGCCAAACTTCAAAAGAACCGTGAGCGAAAACATCGGTGCAATACCCAAAATAAACAACATTAGAGAACTAAAAGACAGCGTGGTAAAACTAGCAGAAACCATAATAAACGCCATCGATGCCAGCTCAAAAGAAGAGAAAATAACAACAAAAAACGATATCGATGATATCTTCAACGGACTCAGAAACCACCCCAAAAAGAATTCTAAAGATCACTGGGGTGATGTGAGAGCATTATACACTTGGAAATGCACACTCCATAGTTAAGTTAGATTAGTAGTAGACAAAAAAAAACAAAAAATCGCTTACTGTCTAAATAAAACCATGTCTTCTTCAGAACACCGAATGTCATTATCTGCTGTTGTAGCATAATAAAAAGCAATATAAAAACCCAACTAAAAAGTATAAAAGGCCTTTTATACCAGCCATCAGGCATAGGCCCCTCAGGCAGATCGAATGCTGATCCTATCGCGGATTCCGAGCACCGAGGTCATGTGCGGCATACATGTGCTCGGTGGCTACTCGGATGTTCAGCTGGTGAGGAGAACAAAATTTATTTTGCCAATTCGGCTGCTGAGTGTACGAGCACACACTCTTTTCGGATAGAGAGTCATTAACCCTAGGCTGGTGGCTCTGTGTTCGGAACAAACTTTTTCTTTTTAGTGACACCACTCCCGATGTCAAGTTAGGGTAACTTCTATAGAATCAGTAAAGTAAATAGGGAGAAAAGCCGATATGTGTGCTACCCCTACAGTTAGGTGGCTTAACCACCGTCAATAAACACAGAGGGTGTCGCATTACCCAGGACACCCAAAGTAACATTTACTTTTCAAGCCTCCTCACATAAGTCACACGTTGACGAAGGGTTAAGGAAAAGCCTGGGGGTCAGATAGGTACCACTTCAATAGCGCAGTATGATCGGTTTGATCTTCGGACATATGGATCTCACTTTATAATGGTATACTAATGTTCCTTAGAAGCAGGGTTAATCGCATGTGTGTGTCTATTTTTTTCACGTCTCAATTAATTTGTAGATTTTAATGATTTAGAGTTACATGTATGTATGATATTCTGTTTTATTTTACTTGTTTTAAATAAATCTTACTGTAGTATTTGTCTGTCGTAATATACAAAGTCAATAGGAAGGGGAGAAACTAGTGGGTTATAGATTGAGCGTATATAAATATATATATATATATATATATATATATATATATATATATATATATATATATATATATATCCATTCATATGTATATATATATATATATATATATTATATATATATATATATGAATGGATATATATATATATATATATATATATATATATATATATATATATATATATATATATATATATATTCATAATCTCTTTCTGAGGTCCTCATATATTTATATAGAGATTATTGAACGACAGTTAAAGTCCTCTTATACTCGATACCAAGCTTGGAACAAATGTTTGGTGCCGCTAGGCCTATAATACTGTCAGGACCATTCACGCTGCTAACTGCTTTACTTAGCTAAAGTTTTTATCTACTATATCCTGAATACAAATCAATGTCGTGCAAATCTCTGCTGTAACCTTATTCTTGTTCGCCTACTCCTTATATTCATTAACATCAAATGATAAATTGGTTGGAAATTGTACAAAAAAACTATTACAATAATTTATTAATATTTTAACTAATAAAAATAATTTATTAATTATATTAATATTAATTACATAAATTGTTCCACAGAATTGTAAATAATAATACTGTCGCCATAAATCCTGAAATTTTATTAGAATTTGAACCATTGTCAGCTCTTAATAGACGTTTCGTTTTTATCACCTGTGTATAATAGTGTGCTGATTTTTTTGGAGTTCTTGTACGATTTGGATGGGTAAAGTTTACATGGTAGAGGCCAAAATGAGCTCTGAAAGATAAAACATAATGAGAATTTTAAAATTAAAGTAGATAGTAAACTAAAATTGCTTAAATATACAGAATAAAATTGAAATAAAAATAAAAATTAAAAAAATATAGTTTATTCAAATAACCTATTGGTCTAAGCTCCTTCATATATTCTACACAGAAAACAAGATACAGATAGATAGCTAGTTTAAAAATAAATCCTTTTATAATTATTTTGGCAAAATTAAACTTGTCAGACCCTCTGGTCGTAATTATGCACAATTATTTCACCTATGTGAAAATCATGTATGGAGTGAGGCAAAGCCTGTCTCCTGTAATCGTCAATCTGTACTCTGAAAGAATTTTTATCCAAGCTTTGCACGAAACTGAAAAAGGTATTCTACTTAATAGGTACCGGCTAAACAACATAAGATATGCACATGAGACCATAGTTTTTGCGGACAACTTAAAAGACCTACAAGTTCTTATGAACACAATCACGTATTACCGTCAACATTATGGACTCAATATAAACGTTAAGAAGACAAAGCTTATGATAATTAGCAAGAAAAATATATCAGTAGGTCAACTCTACATCAACCAATTTTAGCACCATAATAAATGAAGAATGGATCAACAACCAGGAGATTAGAGCACGCATTGGAAAAGCTAGATCCACCTTCAATTGAATGGGGGCCTTCTTCAAGAGTCACAACCTCTCTCTTGATACAAAAGTAAGAATGCTGCGATGCTACATCTTCTCTGTCCTTTTTTATTTTGTTGAACCGTGGACCTTGAACGAATATATGTGCAGAAAACTGGAAGCATTAATATCAGAGAATGCTAAAGATCCCGTGAACTGACCGAGTCACAAATGAGATGTGCCATATATAATCCAGATATGCTCCCCTTCAAGTCATCCTGCAAATAAAAATATTAGGAAAAAAACTGTCCAGGAAGAAGAAGAACATATTGGTTAAAAAGCCTCAGAATCTGGTTCAACACAACATCTGTGCAGCTTTTCCATGCTGCTGCAGATAAGATAAAGATTGCCATGATGATCGCCGACACTCGTAACGGATAGGCATATCAAGAAGAAGAAGAATTTCATCTAGCTTCATCTTTTAAAAATCGTGAATACTAATGTGATGAAATATTGTTCTGAAGCTATTTTCTTGTGACATTGTAAATTAATTACTATTAAATTGGGAATAAGCCACAATTAAAGATAAAAATACGTTTATTGACGTTTCAATTTCCACTTCGGAAATCGTTCTCAAAATACAAACAGTAAATTAAACAAATTTTGTTTTTTGTTACATAGTGAAAAATTCTTCTAATAATTTAATTTTATCTGACTCATTTATATTGACAATTCAGACATACAATATGCATTTTAAAGTAGACGACTTTAAAATGATATTGCCAATATTGTTGAGTTGCGCTCCTGGGACGACTTTACTGATAAGATAGTTCATTCGATTACATGAAATCAACTTTAACTTGAGAATATCCGTCAGAAAAAAATCATAGCATGTAATTCGTCTTTAAAAAGACAAACACATGACATGATGACAGTAAAATTCTCCTGTTAGTGATTCCATAGTAAATTATGAGGGAAAACCCAGGAAAAAAACCTCATAATACTATCCCGACATTGTAAGTATTTGTTCGTGAATTTAGTTTACCTTCAACAAATATCAAAATTCTGATTTTATATGTTACGTTAATTAAAAAAAAACATAAATGATGTATCCTCTATATGTTACTGACTTACTAATACTGGTATTTTCTTATTAATAACTTCCTCTTTCAATATTGGTAACCAGATCCTACTACATTCTGCCGAGGAATTTGCGACACATAAAAATAACGTATTTTTATCTTTAATTGTGGCTTATTCCCAGTTTAATAGTAATTAATGTGATGAAACTTACGTAGATCATTTGTAGGAGCCTTTATTCTAAAATTTAATCATAATCGCGACGCAACAGTGGGTAATAATAAAATCCAAGAAAATCCGTGTGCTTTTAAAAGTATAATTTTTAACATTTTACAATTGTTTTTTGTTGTAAAACGATAAAAAAATTGATGTTCATATTTTGTATTTTGTATATAAAAAAAATATATTTATACCACTAAAACATCGGTTTTTTTTATTTTTTGTTTGACATAATTTTGAACATTAGTATTGGACTGGAATGGGAATGAATATATTTTCGTATATAATTTAAGTTTTTTGAGCTAGGTGAAATATATATACAGTAAAACCTCCGTTAACCGAAATAATTGGGGGGGGAGAAAGTTTCGGATAACAAGAATTTCGGTTAAAAATAACATTGTTTTTTATAGTATTATTGGTCAAAGTATTGGTATTAAACTATACTATGAGGTAATTTCGTAATGTTTTTTAATAAGTAAATACAGAATAAAGTAATAAAATTAAGTAAAATGAACAAGTTTAACATGTTTATTTAAAGAAATCTACTATTTTCTTTTGCGTTATCGTTTGGCAACGATGTTTTGCAGCTATATATCTCCATCGTTCATTTGCAGAACGTCGTGAGTTTGCCTTATTCCGTCGTTCGACGAAGCGTAAAGCAATCTGAAAAGAACAAAACTTTATGCAATGACAACAAAACTTAAGAACCCAGTCGTGTCCCTAACTAATTAGGTCTACTGTATAAAATTCTTATCCTTAATGCATTGAAAACCTTGTCGGTGGTCTCATGCTGCCTGTTGTCTGTTGGGTCGTCATCTTCGTCGTATTATACGCTCAGGTTGTCTTAATGAAGAACCATATCAATGATGTCCTGGTCAATGAATTCACAATGAGACAATTCACATGACAATGAGTCATCGGCTGCTAACCACTCACGTATCTCTTCTTAGTTAATTTCGTCACATCCCGGCAAATTTTTTATTAAAGGTTTAATTTCATCTGTCGTTTCTTTACCATTTTCTTCGTCAGGATCGTCAATCAAAATCCTATCTAAAAGTTTAGCATTTTTCCAAAGTTGAAAATTTGATGTTGGCCCAGAACTCAGCACACCGATAAACAACATATTTCATTGTTGAAGATTGGAGGACTTCGGGAACACTTTTGGATTCATTCGTTGCCTGTAATAACAGATGTCTTAAGAATTCTCCTCTACAATGTTTCTCGAATGTCTTTATTACTCCCTGGTCTAACAGCTGAACGTGAAGCTCGTGACCTTTTTATTGACGAAACTATTGAAACTGTCAGCCGTTTCGGTTTAACCATGTTTCGGTTAAAAAGGTTTCGGTTAAGGGAGGTTTTACTGTACATGCATATATTTTTTAAAAATATATGTATTTTCGTTTTTTACATATTTTAATTTTAAATATGGTTTTTAATAGATAATTTACTAAAGTCTATGTCTAGTCCATTATTTTTATTTTCAGAGAAAAATACGATCCAGAAAATGAAAAAGATGCAGCTATTTTATTGAAATTACAGAATACTGTGTCTGATATTAAAATTAGTGGCGATGAAGAGGAAAAGGGATAATCCAGAAATCTTCTCAAGTGATATTAAAGTTTGTGTAGGTTTCGATAAATTGGGACCTACCCTTGATGAGTTATCTGACTCATACTGGAATGAGAAGAAAGATAAAGCTGACATTTCAGAACTCTCGTCAGGCAAGAAAAAGAAGCTCGGGTAGGCGCTAATCACAGAGGGCCGACAAAGATTCAAATCTCTGAGTCACACGAGGATGACGAGAACGAATCTGGATCACACGAGGCTGATGAAAACGATTTAGGATTTGATGGACAATCTACTGCAAAATAAGGTAACGTTAGCTTTGTTACAGCCAAAAAATCTGTAAAATGTCGTAAGAAAGATTTTGAACCTATGGATTTAGTTTGGAATAAGCAACAACAACCTACCCCTATAGCGCCCCGAATAGCAATTTGAGCAAATGGCTACTTAAACAATATGTATGCTTTTTGTAACGAAAAAACTCAGTTCAAAAATACATGTGCAAATGAAATTAAATTTGTTTGGTTGACACATTATTTCCGGTTGCCTAAAATTTTAGGTATACAACCAAAGTACTACTGGAATAAACTTTAGAATTTGCCAACCACTAATTCCCAATGAAAGATGGTTTAAACATGACACAAATAGGTTATTTATTAAAACAATAAACAGAATAAGATCAAACCACGCAGTCACTCCTGCATACAAACACAGCATAGGTATCACTGATAACCCATATTGCTCCTGTGGTAAAAAGAGAGATCTACAGCGCCTTATATTGGAGTGTGGACAGTACAAAGTATCAAAATTATGTATGAAAAACTAATTAACCTGAATTTCCATTACCTGTGAATTTAAATTATAAGTAGTTTTAGGTATTAAAATTAAAAATTGTAAATATGTCAAAAATTGAATGTATGTACTATATTACAATATAAACAATATGTAACATATTACTCCCTGTAACTCTAAAATCTCCCTGTACACCTTAAATCAACTAAAAACGAATAAATGTACGAGAAAGGATAAGATTACAGTTGAAATGTTGAAAATTGGTGGCAGAAAAATGAAACAGGTGGTAAATATTTTATTTAGTAAAGTAATTGATGAAGGAAAGATTCCTCAAGAATATCCTTGCTATCACATCTGTATAAATTACTAACTAAAATTATAACCAACCCGAACACATAAGCTCGATTTCTATCAACCTATCGACCAGGCTGGATTCAGAAGACCATTTGCACACCATAAGAACACTGATAGAAAAATGCACCAAGTATAATGTTCCAATCCATATGGCGTACACTAGCATAATTAAAAACTTATATGAAAATGCCACCATGCATATAAAGCTGGACGAAAGCACAAAAACTAATCCCATAAGACTACAACGGGGAGTAAGACAAGGATACACCATCTCTCCCAAACTATTTACCCTTGCTCTAGAAGATATTTTTAAAAAACTGAAATGGAACAACGGTATCAACGTCGACGTATCATACTTAAATCACTTAAGA